TTAAGTACCAACTTAAAATTTACCTCTATTCATAGTCGCATTTCAGATTTCTACTAAGTAGTTTCGACTTAGTTTACGATATAGCAAAACGAGTGTGAAAATGTACCGATTTTTCTCTACGATATTTTGGAAAAATTGCATTTTTATTCAAGAATGATAGAATACAAGATTGCGCAGTCCTGGGCGTTGACATTTGTGTACCAAAAGTAAACAAAGAATGGAGCGAAAAGAAGAAAGAGTTGAAACTGCCAAAGCAGTTCACTTGACAGCGAAAAACGTGTTTTAATTTTGCTAAATGTGAAAATATTGCATTTTTCACATAATCTATTAGAGAACAGTGAACATTTTAGTGCACTCCATTGCTTTGCAATTAAGGCTGCTGTAGAAAACTGCAGCAGCATCTCTGCAGGATTGATTAGTTAACTTGCTAATGCAGGCTGCGTGGAGCAGAAACAAAATCATTGTGAGGAAATGCTGTTAATATAATAATAGAGAAACATTTCGGGAACGGCTTTGCCGTGCCCCATGTACACAAAATGCAGCGATTCGTCCCAGCGCTACACTTGCATCTACGTTTCTTGCATCTTGACGGCTGTCGCAATTTAACACACAGCACTTCATTGTATTCGTTTTTACGCAGTCCTCAACTCAAAAATCACTCACTAATTGCAAATTAACACAATTTAAACTGATTTTGCACTTATAATTAAAATTTCTCTTTCGCTGATTTGTAAACAAAGGTTTATTTACAAGTTACCACAACTTCAAAATCGGCAAAACCAAAGTAGCGGTACCACTGACGGCGCCACCTTTGTTCGCTGCATCGTGATTTTTATTAAATAATTTCAAGTTTGATCATCCATTTATGTAATTTTTATTTTCATTGCATGATTATGCAAAAGAATAAGGTATCATTTTCTAGTTAATTGTGTGAAATAGCCAGAACAACCGCAGTGATTTGAAGTCGATGTTTATCGAAAGCATGCTGTGAAACATAGAAATAGTAGATATCTAAATGTTATGCACAAATTTACTTTAAAAGAACTAGCGTGAAACTGACTTATTATTTGAGAATTTATCTAAATTATTCCAATTACAAAATTGTGATGTAGCTTTATTCGAATTGTAATACACATTTAACTTCATCTTCGGATTAAAATGGATCGATCTTTGTACATTTTAATTGGAGATTATTTAATATTATCAAAATCATACTCTACCAACTTAATTTTTACATATTTCGTCTGTTTTCCCTTAATTTGATGAAATACTTCTTCCTAGTTACGACATAATTACAGCTGCAACCGAAACTAAATTTTAAGTTGATACTTAGCCAGAAAAGTCGAAACTAAGGCGACTGTGAATAGCTTTAGTTGTGACTTAGAATAGTTTCGACTTACAGGTCTATTTTGCGCTGGTAATAAAAAGTTTGTAACCGGTAAATAAAGTTCCTGACAATTTTTAAACCCTTTTCGCATTCTGTGTACTCTTGTAACCGGTAAATTTTGTTACCATCTCATAAGCTGGTAAAAAATTATTGCCCCGTGAAATATGCAATGCCAGGATTGGCACAATTCTCCATAGCTGAATTGCTGAATATTTTGACTGCATTACCAACGTACCTAGAATCGCGGTGACAAGAACTGGTAACTTTTTTTGGTAATAAAATTTTCCGGTTACAAAATCTTCGGTAACGTGCAGAATAGACCTGTTAGTTTAGTGTGTTAAACCCATGTATGTAATACTCCTATATTGGCAGTAAGAGCTAGTACCGTCCGAAAACACTGCAGTACAAATATATCAATAAAAACGTACGAAAGAAAAGGAACACATACGTTTATAAATAAACATGTACACAACACATTTACAAAAACGGCACTCAAGTACACAATACATTGACAAAAACGGTACTAGACTGTCTCGCTTTGATTTCGGAATGCTTACACATTGAGAAGTTAGCTTATAGAAGTATTACATATATGGTTAAACCATGTTAGGACCGAAAACGAAAACACATTGAAAACGAGTTTTGGGATTGTGAGCTGAAAGGTGTTCGCACCGGCTGTTAGTGTTTTCATTTCTTTTATCCTTTGTTTACAGTTTCGTTACGAAAAAACAAATAAAAATCATTGTGTATTATTTTCTTATCATTAGCAACCTTTTTCTCTTGTTCATATTTTAATTTGGACAGCCAATTGACAATAAAACCCAACTAGCGTCTTAAAGATGATAAAATATGACATCCACTTAGATAAATAATCGAAAAAACTAGTGGAACGATTGGAACGTCAGTTTTCAAGTAGTTTTCAGCGAAAACTGGTTTTCGTTTGACAGATTTTACACAAGTTTTAGGTCGAAAACCATTTATAGTAAGAAAACATGTTTCCGATGTCGTCCGAAAATGGTATTAGTGAAAAAGTGTGAGTGTGGCCCTGTGCCAATTGATAGAAAATAGAAAATTTTGACGGATCAAAGTAAAAATTTGACACTTCTCGTGGTGAATACGAACGTCAAAATTTTACCTAGCTCATGGGGATAGGTAAAATTTTGACAGCTTATAACCATGTATACACATAATATTGCTTGGCGGTAATAAGGAGTGAACATAAAAATGAAAGCTGAAACAGCATAAAAAAAGCTCACGTTACTTGCAAATTATAAAATAAATATAAATTTTAAGAATTTCAGCAACACACAAAAATAGAGCTTTCGCACGAGCGTTTGTTTGGTTTTTCAACAGTCAAAATTTTGCTTTGCATTTGGCACAGCAAAATTCAATTTATTTGTAAACCATAGCAAATTTTTCCACCCCGTCTCACCACGGAGAAAAAAGTTACCGAGTGGCACAGGCCCTGTATTGAAAATTGAATGAGGAAAATTGAATGTGTAACGTCCCAGTAACTTAAGTAAAGATTGTAACTTCCACAATTCAATTTCAGATCATACATTTAGGGCCGGTTGTTCAATGTCTGATTAACACAAATCGGAGGTAGAAGCTCCGGTTAAGTACAAGTGCATGATGTCAAAAACGTCGATAGTGTAGTGGTGGTGATAACCAGACATTGAACAACCGGCCCTTAATCTGCATTTATATGGCCAATATTAGCTATTTAAATATGAGATGTGCAACCCTGTGTTTGTACCAAACAACCAACAATCCTCAATTAAACTTAAGTGCCGTTTAAATTTCATTGGAAATTGGCCCTAAGCTAGGGCTGCCAGACGTCCCGGTTTTCCCGGACATGTCCCGGTTTTAGACTATTTGTCCCGGTGTCCCGGTCCAACCTTAAAATGTTTCTATTTGATTGCACAAATTTTGAATAAAAATGACTACACTGAGAGAAAAAACGCATTGTAATATTAATAAAAAGTTTATGAATTGACTGGGGAAATAACGCATAGTAAACATGAATATTTTTTATTTGATTATCGTTTTACAATTTTCGTATTTAAAAACTTTCATAGCACGCACACGTGGTGTTGAATCAAACTGAACATTTGAATGCAAATTTACATGCCTGGCTGTGCACGAAGATGCTTGCCGCAAATTGCTAATTTCCAGAGCGTCAGGGTTCAAATTACAGGCAGCATGGAATTTAAATATATATTTTTTTAACTTAATTATGAAAAAGCATCCGTTAAGTGCAAAACGCTTCATTTTAATATTGGCGTATTTGAATTGAATATTTCTATACTAAATACATTATATTTTGCTTAGCTGCACATCCTTCTTTGCACGAAAAACTTGTGCACGTAACCGAAGAAGGCACTTAAGCGAATTTTCTTTACTACTTCAATGAGGAAGGTATCCGAATCCCTATGAAACCAAATATTGGCGGAGCACTTACCAAGTAGAAATTACTGCAAGCGAAATTTTTACCGAATGTTATCTAATTATCTATATAACTACATAAATTGATAGCCATTTTCGTTGTTCTGCGCGATGAGCAAAATAAATAAAAGGTTGTAAAATTAGGTAATTGTAGGGCCAGTGCAGGTAAAATACTTTCATTGATAATTGATACTAGTCGCACAATTTTTAAGGCAGGTATCGCCAATGTGCAGGTATGTTGAATGCATCTATCGGAGCAGTTTCCTTATAAATGTTAAAAATAATGCTTTTGATGCGCATTTTGGGGTAGGTATCTGAAATGTGCACTTAAGCATAGAGGCAGCAAAGCAAAATATACTGTATTAAAATTTGTATACTTAAATTTATTACAAGTTGGGTTGGTGCTCTTTCATATGCGAATTTTTTTTTAAATTTAGCACGTTTTGCACAAGCAATAGTTGATGATTAATATAAGTATGTACCTAAATACGTTAAAATGACATGCACAGAGTTTTACAATTATATTAAGCAAAAGCCAGAAGTTTTGAAACAAGTTCACAGCAACGAAACAAATGACTGATATTTTAATGTTACCTTGTATTTAATTTTTTTTCTTTGATTACTTATAAGTACCGTGCCGTACAAAATTATTGATTCGGAGACTCTGTCATCTGATCACAACTTCTAATCAGATCTTTCAGAAAAATTTTGAAAATGTAGCTTTTGAGCCAATTAGTAAAGTGCAAGTCTGAAGTTACCAGAAAATTTCGTTGATTTTTTGCAATTATTTATTTTTTGCTGACAGTGTCTTCCACATACAAAAAAATGTCGAACATAGTTTGTATGGAAGAAACTCTCAGTAAAAACAATACCAAAAATGAACTAAATTTTTATGGGCTGCAAAACTTCATTTTCAAAATTTTTATAAAAAGGTCTGAATAGAAAGTTGCGAATTTGTATGCAAATTTTTGTCGAAACGAAAGGGAAGGGAGCGAGAGGCCTCTCCCCGCCTTAAGTGTCCCGGTTTGGCAACAGA